TCTTCTCTACCACCAATTTGAGTCATGCTGGCCACATAACCATAGAGAGATCTTCGGACAGCGCTGGATCTTTGGCTTTGAAACGAAGATGAGCACCAACCCCTAGAGTCGGGAACTTTTACCTTTTTAGCTAGATATGTCCATGAGGTTAACAGGAGCTTAACTCACAAAAGATTCAATATTATTATAAGGCAACTAAATGAAATGAGTGAAAAAAAATTCTTCTGAAATACGCCTGAAAGCTCCAGGATATAGCTTGGAGAGGTGATTCCTGTTGCAAAACTCTTAGCTTTATCCAAAATTACTGTGTTTGTGGGTATTTGGCAGCTTGGAAAATTACCAACTTGCTTCCCCTCAGGTAAATTGTTTAAATTTGTCTTCTCTCTCATCACAGGTATACGTTCATATTCCCGGTGCCAAAAAGCTGATGGTTGAACTGCCTCTGGTCATTGGCACAATTCCATGTACAGTTTTTTCCAGCAGGAACTCAGATTTTGTCAACCAGCTGGCCATGGATATGAGGTGGCTGGCTCAGACTCTGCCAGATCATCCGGAAGGTAGCATGCCTTTATTTTTTCTCATCGTTTGGGGCTGAGGTTTTTTTTTAGTTCCAAGGAAAAAACAAATCTTGAAAAAAATCTCAAAAGAAAGCTGGTATACTGAGGGAAGCGTTTGACTTGGAGAGAGTGAAACTGATAATCAATTTGTTTATAAAAGCTTTTTTGGAAGCCTAGACCAATTGCTCTTTTTCACTGGAATGTTAAAGAATTGTTGAAATAAAATGCCAGATTTTCTTGGCACGCCTTTGAGAGTGGATGAGATATTTTATGATAGGTTGGATAAAATCAGTTATTTTACTTAAAATATGTACATTGAAATTGTTTTTTTTAATGTTCAAACGTTTGATGATGGTACCCATAGAATATTTGCATTTCAGAGTTGAACTGTGGAATCCTCGGTGTTCTCTGAGCTTGGTGGTTTTTCTTGGAGATTTTTTATGACCCAGCTAGGTAACATCATCAGTGCTAGAAGGTTTGCACACTCGCAACACTGATGATGTCACCTAGATGGGTAATGAAACGTCTACAAGAAAACAACCAAGCTCAAGAGAGCACACAGAACCCACAATAACAGCTTTGTCAAGCTTGTCCCAACTTTTAGGAAAGAAAGATCCTCAACTCGATTTTGTAGCGAAAGGTTCTTTTTTTTTACTAAGTTCAAGTGGTTACAGCGTAAGCAAAGTCTGCCTTTTCTCCTCTTCCCCGGCCCTCCCCTCTTGATCAGTTCGTGAGTGTCCAATGGAATTTGAATTACCGTATTTTTCGGCCTATAAGACACACTTTCCCCCCCCTAAAAGAAGGTGGAAATGTCAGTGCATCTTATAAACCAAATATGGCCATTTTTGGCCTCCCGAAACCCCGCCCGGCACATCCCGTTTTTGCCAAAAATTGGGCACACAGAGGGTTTGGGAGGCTTGCAGAGTGTTCCTGGGGGCTCAGGAGAGCAAAAACAGGATGCCTGGGGCTTTGGGAGGCCAAAAGCGAGCCTGTTTTTTGCTAAAACGGGGCACGCAGAGGGTTTGGGAGGCCTGCAGAGTGCTCCTGGGGCCGGAGAGGGCAAAAGCTATTTTTTTTTCCTGGTTTTACTCTTTGAAATCTTGGTGCATCTTTTACTCCAGGGCATCTGTAGTCCTAAAAATACAGTAGGTGTTTTGGTAACAGCTTTAAGGTTTGGTGCCTCCTTGGTGGAGTTTTGCATTCCATTCTCAAACTCACGTCCCTGATGGGCAGATCTGGTTCCTTTCATCCTGTCACTACTCCCCATTCTCCGCCCCTTCCTGTGTTTTATGGCAGGATACCAGGAAAGCAAAGTCAGCTGAAGATGGCAGACCTGACAAGCTTTTACTCTGAAATCCATGGGCTCTCCGTGTTATTTCTGTGACTACACCAATTTGCACAAAGTGCAGGCTGAATAGAGCATAATTCCAAGCTTGCTTAATGGGAAACTGAGCCTAGCATGTTGGTCCATTGGGGGGAAAAATAGATTTTTTAGGAAAGGATTGAAATACTCTAGAAAGGGGGTAGACATTTTTTATCGTAATACTTTATCCAAGGCTGGATATAAGAGGCAAGTACTTGTTCCTGCATCAGTATCATGTTCTTTAAAATCATATAAAATACACCCTTTGTTATTTATAAATGATGGGCTTATTTGATTTGATTTGTACTATTGCTTTAAAAATATGGAGAGAAACGATCAGTGGCAAACTTTATTTGTCACTGATTTAAAGTAAGGTTTTCTGCCTATAATTTTAATTGCTCTTGATTGATGTTAGTCTTTTCATCCAGGAATGGATTGTTCTTTGAATTGAAGCCACTCTTTAAAAGCTGATGTACTAAAATTGTATCATGGCTGCAATTTGGATCGTCAGTCATCATAGTTACAGCTCAGGAACTGATTGGTCTGGAAAAGAAACTCATTGTAGTATGATTTTACTTTTTTTACTTTTACTTTGAGAGGAAGAGTTACATCTCCATTCACATGTGTTTGTTCCCCAGCACCACCCAATTATGCTGATATAGTATCGGAGGAAGAATATGGAAGACATGTTACCGTTTATCCCACTTCAGTGGATTGTGAGGAACAGCTGCCTTGTCCTATGCTCGCCTACATCCAAGAATTCCGATTTCAGCCGCCGCCTCTCTATTCAGAGGTAACCGACACGCTCAAGTACAATCTTGAAAGCTCATATACCATATTTTTTCAGAATATAATATGCACCTTTTTCCCTCAAAAAAGAGGGTGAAAATCTGGGTGCATCTTATACACTGAATACAGCATTTATGGCCTCCTGAAACCCCGCCCCCTTTGCAAAAATGGCCGTGCATAGCCTTTAGGAGGCTTCCAGAGTGCTGCTGAGGGCTTGGGAGGGCAGAAAGGAGCAAAAAACNCAAAGACATCACTAGTCTCAAGTCCCTTCACACTCACAAGAGATCTAAGTCCAGCCCTCCTTGAAATCCATCGACTCTTCTCTACCACCAATTTGCCTTGACCATTAGTAGTTCAGATTCTTTTAGAGAGCTTTAGCATACTTCCTAAAATTCTTTACAAGGAGCCACTGTGGCGCAATAGTTAGAATGCAGTATTGCAGGCCAATTCTCCTAATTGCCAGGAGTTCGATCTTGACGGACTCCAGGTTGATTCATCCTTCCATCCTTCCGAGGTATGTAAAAATAAGTCTTAAGCGCTATTGCTATATGTCATTGAAAAATCCTGATTTCCTATTGCTATACAAATATGAACTACTAATGATCAAGACAAATTGGCGGTAGATAAGAGTCAACGGAATTCAGTGAAGGCTGGACTTAGATCTCTTGTGGGCATGAAGGGACTCAAGACTGATGATGCATTTGAAAACCTTAAAAATATTTCCAGGGAAAGCATTATTTGTTTAGAATAGTATATAGAATGAGCTGGAAGGGACCTTGGAGGTTTGTTCGTTTATTTGTAGCTCACCTTTATCATCTTTACAAATAACTCAAAGTAGCAAATACATCTAACATTTTCCTCCTCCTGTTTTCCCCACACTGACAACCCTGTGGGTTTGGGCTGAGAGAGAAGTCACCTGGATGGCTTCTGGGTCTGGTGCCTTAAACACTAAACCAGACCGTCTCCTTTTTGTCTAACTTTTGAAGCAGGGCAATAAAGATTAGGCTAGAAACAACACCAGAATGTTTCCTTCCTGCCTTTCTTACAGGATTAGCCCTGTAAAGTGGGAAAATACCACTATCTAGATATGTCCTATTGGGATATATCCCTTGAGATATACTCCTTTTTAGATATGTCCTATTGGGACCTGGTGGCTTAGTGGCTAAGGCACTGAGCTTGTATCAGAAAAGTCGGCAGTTCAAATCCCTATCACTGCATGAGCTCCCATTACTTGTCCCAGCTTCTGCCAACCTAGCAGTTCGAAAGCATGTAAAAATGCAGGTAGAAAAACATAGAAATCACTTTTGGTGGGAAGGTAATAGTGTTCCATGCACCTTTGGCATTGAGTCATGCTGGCCACATAACCAGAGACATCTTCGGACAGCGCTGGAACTTTGGCTTTGAAACGAAGATGAGCACCAACCCCTAGAGTTGGGAACTTTTACCTTTTTAGCTAGATATGTCCATGAGGTTAACAGGAGCTTAACTCACAAAAGATTCAATATTATTATAAGGCAACTAAATGAAATGAGTGAAAAAAAATTCTAACTGAAAGGGGTATTAAATGTGAAGAAAGTTTGCCCAAATTGGGTT